CATTTAGAAAAAGGAAAGTGTGTTTCTGGGAAATAAGAAGTGACTTATTTAAGCTGGTGTGTCTCTTTAGGAACGTTTTCATCTAATTTAATGGTGGTGCTTTTGGCTTTGTTTTCCATTTTGTGGTCAAGGTCCTTAGTGTGACTACTCCAGTTCTCAGTTGTATAGGGCACTTGCCTTGTGCCTGAGACTTCTGCCTCCCTCCGTTTTTCTTTCTCAATGTCCAGTAAAATTGCCTTATTTGCAATTGTTTGAATTAGCCTAAAATTTGTTCCTGAAGCTGATATCTGGTAGTCATCAAAACTGGAAATACTGGACCACAGATAGTTGGCAGGCTGTCAGGCTTCTGATTTGAACCTTGGATTTGTTACTGGCTGCTTCCCTGTTCGCTTCAGCCTGCAAGAAGGAGTTGTCTGCCCACCTGAGTTCCAGCCTGGAGATGCAGGCCATCACTTGTGATTCCTGGCTTGCAGAACTTCAGTAATGTTTTCTTCAGCTTCCTAAGGGAAGGCAAGTCAAAGATCTACAGATGTGTTCCTAGAAGGGTTCTGAGAAAGAATAAACTTTTTGGTGCTGTGGTGAAGAAACTAGAGATTATTTGGTTTGGGTTAGTTTGGGTTTTTTTTTCCAAGGTGGTCTAGGGTAGGATGCATGGTGTGGTACACAGTAAAGGGTAGCTCATGTGATGTTTGAAAGAAATGCAAGTTAGATCAGTGTTTGTTTCTAAATAAATTGCTTTCTACTTCAGAATGTAAAATACATTGTCTTACATGGTGTAAATTCCCTTGTATGCATGTCCCAGTTTTGGATTCCTCACCTTTTTAGTTTGTGGATTTTTTTTTTTCTTTTGGCTTTTTTGTGGATCAGGATTTCTCTGATTAGGCCAGGATCCTGCATTTTCTCCAAATATTCATAGTCACATCACTACCCAGTTATTTTCTGTTTTCAAGTTCTTTGTTATTAGTACAATCTTTATTTGACCAGAAGTCAGAGCTGCTTCCTAGGTTATCTATGAACCATTATTTCTGTTGCTTAAAATAAGTAAGCACTCTTCTGTACAATTAAGTTTGTAGATAACTAGCTATTGCATTGGACTTTGTCTTCTGAAAATAAAATATATTGTTTGTTGGTTTGGGGAAATAGGTAAAAGTTGCTATATCTCTCATGGTCTATGATTTTTTTTCTGGACAATTACATCCTGCTTTCTGAACCACTGTCTCTCACAATAACAGTTGAATTATTATATTCTTTTATCATAATCCCACTTGGTTTATGGAGTTTATGGCCTTTTTTATGCAGTTTTAAATAAACATAAAAGAGGTACATAATGTTCATTAATGCACTGGATGTATTTAATGCTTTGTTTCTTTTGCATGACAGACAGCCAGAAGAACTCAGGATGAGTAAAACGAATAATTTTGATGTTCAAAGCACAAAAAGTAAGTTTTTATCAAATAATTTCAGAAATACCTAATCTGCATATATAATCCTAGTCATAACTTGTTTTATTTGTGCTCAAAGAGCGTGTGAGTTTCCAATAATCAAATTACTGTGTCCAGTTTGAGGCTCTTCAGTACAAGAAAGAAAGAAGTTCTGAGAGGGTTCTACAGAGGCCAAAAGAGGTTATTTGGGGAATGGAGCATCTCTCTCTTGAGGAGAAGCTGTGGGAGCTGGACCTGTTTAGTCTGGAGAAGAGAAGACTGAGAGGGATTCTCATTAACACATATAAATATCTCAGAGGCAGGTGCCAAGAGGGTGGTGCTGGACTCTTCAGTGGTGCCCAGTGACAGGATGAGGAGCAATGGTCATGAACTAAAACACAAGAGCTTCCCCCTCAACATGAGGAAGAGCTTCTTTACTTTGAGGGTGGCAGAGCACTGGAGCAGGCTGCCCAGAGAGATCATGGGCTCACCTTTGGAGACAGCCAAAACCCATCTGCACAAGGACCTGTGTCACCTGCTGTAGGTGGCCCTGTCTTGCAGGGGGTTAGACCACATGATCTCCAGAGGTCACTTCCAACCTTAACCATTCTGTGAAATTGTGTTGGAACCACCGCTTGTCTCAGGAAATGCAAAAGAAATAACTAAAAAACTTCTTTGGGTTTGTTTGCTGTAATTAGGCTGTTTTCTGCAGATGTTTAAAGAAAGTAACCTTGTGAATTTAGCAGCCAAATCATGCAGAGCTGTGTTTGAGATGTACAATTCAGTGCTTTGGTAGGCTGACACAGTAACCCTATTGTTACTACTGTGACTGTTCTAAATCTTAAAATGTTGTAAATGTATTTTATACACCTACTGGGAATTAAAGGGAAGCTATTAAAAGTCCATGGATCTATGATAGTGGGCTAGAAACTTTAGTAAGTGGGAAATCCTCAAGGTTTTAGTTAAATGTAATGTTGTCTCAAATTATTATATGTTTTTAGAAGCTGTGATAGCAACTAGATGACATTTCACATGCGCCTCAACATTGCTGGCTATTTGATAATTCTCTTTGGGTGTTTTGGGAGAATATTTCAATTGGGAGCACAGCCTGCTTGTGAATTTAGCTTGGCTAATAGACCACTCCTGAATCAGCAGGCTGGTGAAGTATTTTCTTTCTAGTAAATAGAGGAGGAACAAGTAGTACATTCTTCTGCATCTGTTATAAAATTCCACATTAAGGAAAGGGATATCTACTGTCCTTTATCCAGTAATCTACTTGAAGATACATTAAAAGAGGTGAAAGCTACTGCTCTGTAGCTGATGCATAGTAATCCAGTACACTCACTGTGTTTATAAACATGATTCTACATTTATATTTTAGTCTGTGTTCTCTGTGGACGGACAGATGACTGCCCTGAAAAGTATGGAGAAAAAAGGACCTATGTGGAATACAATCTCACTGTTCATTATTATTGTTTGGTAAGTGTATGGTATTGATCTTGGAGTTTTCTGTTTTAACTGAAAATAAAGTGCAACTAGTATTTTATACTCATAACCTGTCCTGTCGTTGTAACAATTTTGTTATAAAGCTTGAAATGGGAGCTTTAACTCATAATCTTGAAAGCTTGTACTTGCCAGGTGCAGCAGATGAAATAAGTAAATCTCAACAAGCCTTTATTCAAAGCTAACTTCTGTTCGTGGTCCATTTAAAGGAATTCATTAATTCTCCTAACCTATCATAGCAAATAGCAGTAAAGGTACATGTTAAGACAAAAGGAACAGTTTGCACTTGCATATTGCCGCCTATAATAAAAGTGCAGTTTCAAAATTTGAAATGTGAAAATTCCACCCAGTGTGGAAAGTACAGAAAAGGCTTTTTTCCATTTCACAAAATTTTTGCTGGCTGTGAGCTATTCTCTGACATTACACAGAACATTGTTAACCCTTAAGTCCTGATTTTCAGTTAAGTTATACCCTGTTGATCATATTGGTATTGTTTCACTAATTAGCAGAAGTGTATAATTTAACCAAAGCTATGGATATAACCTGCAGCTTTTGTTTTCGCTCTTGACATTATCCAAGATTCATATTCTTAAAGGTATGCTTCAACTTCCTCTCAAACTCTAAATTTTTGCAGGTCTTCAGAATAACATTACTACTTTACAAGAAAAAAGTCTTTTGTTTGTTAATAAATATAATTTGAATTGTTGTCCCCAGTTTTAAAATGGGTGTCAAGTATCAGAAGTAATATAGGGGGTATGTTTTCTCAACAAGTTCTTTAAAGTGTTGATTGTAGATGGTTTAATAGTTTGGATACTGAATCCATTAAAAACTAAAGAAAGTGGAGGTTTTCTGAACTTACATAAAGATAGAAAAAATTGTTTTTAAATAAATTTTAAGCAGTTGTAAGAAAATAGAGGCCATTATACCATGTTAGTGGTAATTTTGTCTTCTATATAAGGCCCTATCAAATGATAAGAAAAAATCCTATCCTGATGAACAGGTAGGAAAAGGCATGAATGCAGTACTGAGCTTTAGGACTCGGATATTTTAACTGCAAAAAGCTCATTGCAGTATCTTAATTTTTTTGTCTCTACTTCTATTAAAAATTAGCAAAGCCCTGTGATTTTACTTTAATGTAGTGTATGTTATATAAGAGAAGAGTTCTACGAAGAGGCACATGAGTGACAGTTTAATTACTCTTTACCAAATGTCTCACAGTTGGAAAAATATATTTAATTGGTTTGGGTATGTAATCTTACATTTAGTTGAATAAAATATTGATAAAACTAGTTTAAATGGTACTATATTGAAATTATAGAATGAGACTGTAAAGAATATAAACAGCATCAAGTTGTGAAACTCTTCAGTTATTTGAAGATTGTAATGTAGCTGCCTAACTTTAAATTATCTTCAGGCTCTTCTGATTTGCCTAGTTACTTGATTGTGTTTATTTAAATCTCCTCTAATGCGAATTACTTTTCCTCTTAGGTGACACTTCAGTACAGTTACTTCCTACTGTGCTTCATTATCTTCACAGCACAATTGTCATTCATATTAACTAAGCTAATTTAATTTTACTTCCTCTGAAGATTTATATGCTGAAAGTAATTGACAATTATCTGAATAGTCTGTATACTTCAAAAAGGAAGACAAATACACTACCTTGGCCCTGCAGTATTATACAATACTCTGATGTTATGAAGTACTTATTTTCATTTTCCTGGTTATTGTCATGCCAGACAAAAATGTGTTGTGTATCAGATTTTTAATCATTAAAATGTTTCCATGTGAGCTTTCTTAGACTAAACTTCTCTCTTGACAAGCCAGTATATGTAATTTTAAATCTTTTGGTTAGGTGGAGGTTTTAAAGTACTTAATTTGTTTTTGTAGTTGATGTCAAGTGGCATTTGGCAGAGGGGTGAAGAAGATGAAGGTGTAAATGGATTTTTAATCACAGATATTAGAAAAGAAGTAAAAAGAGCTGCAAAACTGGTAAGAAATGTGTCTTTGGGGTCTTACAAGGGGAAAAAGGCAACCTTTAAGTGCTCTTAGTACCTGCATTTTACATTTAAGTAACAAGTATATTTGTGGATTTGTGGAAGCCACAAGGAAAAAAAAATCCCTGTAGAAATTGTAATGATCCACCCTTAAGGAGAAGGAAGCACCTAAGATTTTTGCTCATTGGACAGGAGTGACAAAAGTCAGAGGGTCCACTAAAGGTCAGAAAGTTTTATTAGTCATTTTCACACTTGGCCTGGGCTTTGTTGGGAGTTCCTTTCTGGGGATATGTTTCTTCACCCCAAAGGTATATTTCTTGCCCTCTGCTCCGGTCAAAGCTTGTTCTTTCTCATGGTGTGTCCATACCAGTAGCCCTTGGTTACCACCAACAGTTCTTCTGTGTTACTGCCAGCAGTCCCTGGTTGGCTCCAGAGCCATGTGGTTATCAGTGTTTGAGACATGCACATTAGCCCCTTGTCTTCTGGGAGTCGAGCTCCGAGGGTTTCACTTTGGACCACTGTTTATAGAGTCACAAGAAGAATGGGCTTTAGTGACAGTAATTTTCCATCCTGACTGCAATTTGAGTTGGTAACTTTCTCTGAATTTTCAGTAACAAATAAACTATTCCACTTGGGTTGTTATTCAGGCAAGAAAAAGAAGTTTGTTATAAAACAGGAGTTCATTAGATACCTGTTAGTTCCTGGCGACAGTGGTGAGCCTCAAGAGAGGCTTAGTCCAGTGCAGTTGGTTCAAGCTGAGGCCTGGTTAATATTTGAGATCACAGTGTGGCCTGGATGCTCCATTACAATTCACCCCACAACTGAAGTCAGCTTCCCTGGGCCTCTAGAGTTTGCAACTATTGTTATTCCTTGGGTAAGTTGCAGATAAATAAGAGTGAATTAAACTTTCATAATATCTCATGACATTGTGCTGAGCTTGAAGCTAAGAGTAAATAATTTATAGATGCCTATATATAAGTATATATATGTGTATGCCTATTATAGCTATATAAGCTGTAGGTAACGGTAAAATAACTTGTATGTTATATTACATGTTACAAAACAGTATGCATATAAACCAATACGTAAAGTTTGGGAAATAATTGCATATGTTTACTCTTTGTAACAGAGCTAAATCACATTAGTCTTGCTGCAGTTTTAACCTACTAGCTACTATTCTTATGCTTTTTGTAACTTTTCTATTGGTTTAATTCCTGTAATTTTACTTGTATTTAAAATGTTAATATTCTGTTTCCAAAACAAATTCTTTCTAGAAATGTAATATCTGTAAGAAAAAGGGAGCTTCAATTGGATGTGTAACTCCTAAATGCAAACGAAGTTATCATTTTCCTTGTGGGTTACAAAGGCAATGCATTTTCCAGTTTATGGAAGACTTCAGGTGAGTTTTGGGGCTTTGTTGTTTTTCCATTTTCAATTTATTATATTTATACAGGAGGTGACTTGGATTTCTTTCATGGCTTGTTATTGGATAGGCTGATAGTTGCAAATGACATCAGATTATCTAGGAAACAAATAGCTGATTTGTGGAAGACATGAAAATTAAACAGTTAGATTGTGTGCCTAATATTTATAAACTCAATTCTCAACACTTTTAAGTACATGACTTTATGCTTATACAAGTAGTTAAGTTGTTTATAAAATTGAGCAGTAAATTCTGAACTCTGAAATAAACGGCATAATGGTCGATTTGGGTTTGTTTGCCTGTCTCCTGTGCCTTTGTTGATGTGGCAGAGATTTGGCTACCCGTATCTCTCGGCAGTCAAAACACAGTATCTACCATTTTGCTGTGTTTCCAAGTTTATTAGAGATGGACTGCAGGGGAAATGGCTTAATATCAAAAGTCAAAAAAATGTTTTCTTTTACTGTCATCTGTCTAGCATCTTGGCTGTAGTCAAAATAATCTTGCATGCATTATCCTTGTTGTGAGTTGAGTTTGTAGGGTGGATAGCTTGAAGTCTGGCAGGCACTTAATACAAAACAACTTGAATTATCTCAAGTATGTGCAAGGATGAGGCATTTTCAGAAAGGTTTGTTCTAGAGCTGCATTTCCTGGATGTCATGGTATGGAATATCCCTTAGGTCAGTAGGAATTAGCCATCCCAGTTGTCACCTCCCAGTTCCTTGTGTGTCCCTAGCTTGCTCAGTGGTGGGGAGGGTTGAGAAACAGAAAAGATCTGGACTCCGTTCAAGATCTGCTCAGATGTTTTAGCTAAACATCACTGTGTTATCAACACTGATTTCCTTACAAATTCAAATCACCATACAAGATACTATTAAGAAATTTAACTCTAGCCTAGCCAAAACCAGTATGTCTGCATTTTTAGCTTGTTGCATAGCACTTACTCATGAGAAATGGATTAATTAATTAATTTTGCGGTCTTCAAATTTTATGAAGAAGGTTCTTAAAATGTTGTTTTGTTAACGGAACCATAAATTACTCATTTTAGATCTTACTGTTGGGAACATAGACCAGTCCAAGAGTTTATGGATAAAGAACATAGAGGAGCTTCACAGTGCACAATATGCCTGGATTTGGTTGAACATCTTCCAGTGTTCGCTGTATTGAAAAGTCCATGCTGTAAAAATGCTTGGTTTCACCGAGAATGCTTACAGGTAATACAGGTTCTCCCTTTCAGTCTTTCTGCATCCATGGAGATCACATTTCTGTTTTAAAATGATGGAACAATTGCTTACTGTTAAGTGTAGGTAGTACATATGAAGTATACTGTGTTTGAAGAACAGTGCTAAAATTGCATTATGAACATAAAAGGATTTTGAGGTTTTAATGCTATTAATTTTTCTCCCCCTGTGGCCCCTCCATGGTTCTGCATGTATGATATATACTTCATGTCTTTGGTACTTTCAGGAACTGAATTTCAACAAGCTTCTTGCAAGTCATTATGTGCAGAATCTGAAAATGTAATTTATCGATCAGTTCTCTTTGGCTAAATCCAGGACCAGAAAAAATTACAGCATTCTTTTTGTAAACTTATGCTGGATTTGGAGAAGTTGACTGAAGAGGATGGTGCTTTCATTTATGAACCTCATTCTAGCATGTGAGCTCTTTCCTTTAAAGGAAGAGAAAATCCTTGCCATTTGCTTTAATGTCAAGTCACATCATGATTGATACCATCTTAAATTACCCATGTCAGGACAGCATCTATGCATGTAATGTGTCTGAATATTAAGACATAATTTATTGTCATCTTAAGGATGGTAGTAATTCAATAATTGGTCTGGTTTCTTTGTTGTGTTTTTTTTTTTCTTGGCACAGTATCAAGCTTTGAGTGCTGGGATATTTTTCTTTAGGTGCACAGTATGTAATAACAAGGACAAATTTCAAAAAGAAATGTTGAGAATGGGCATACACATTCCAGAAAAGTAAGTAATTTTGTTAAGGATTACTCTTACATGAAAACTTTGATAAGCTGTTATAAATATTTATTTTATTCCTAAGAACTTCAGCTATTAATATGTGAAATGCTGGTTCTACCTTCAGTTGTAGAATTGTTCCGTTTGGTAAGGAGTAGCCTACTTCCTTTTAGATATGCATAAAAATTTGCAAAGGTGAAATCAGTTATATCAAACACAAAACAGAAAGCTCTGAGAAGTCATTTTTAATGCCATGATTCAGCTTAAATTCTAAACCTAATTAGAAGATAAAGGCACTTCCTAAATGCAATATTTTTTCCTCAATGTAGAGATTGCTAAGAAGTGTATTTTTTAAGTCCAAGTTTTAATTATCTGAATTTCTGTCAAGACAGAATTGTAATTGGCTGATTACTCAGCCATACAGCTCCTATCTTCTGCTCTGTCACTGAAGTCATACAAAAAATAATAAATACTTGAAATCAAAGCAACTTTATGCAAGAGAAAGTCTATGTGTTTTATAGTATTATTTCAGTTATTAGGATTTTCTTCCCCCTTCCCCCTGTTACCTAGAACCCCTGTCTGTGACCTAGAATATGACATGATTGATATATTCATATGTTTTTTGCATATATCTTTTTCAAAATACAGAGTAACCCATTGAAACAATCAGAAATAGATTTCTGATATCCAATCTTATGCCTTTTTTACAGGGATGCATCTTGGGAACTTGAAGAAAATGCATATCAAGACTTACTGCATTGTTATCAACACTGTGATGTTAAAAAATGTCTTTGCAAGAAAGGAAGAGACTATAATGAACCTGATAGGTATGATAGAATAAGTTTTTTGACATATTTTTCATTCTTATTTATAATTTCTATTTATGTAAATATTTTGGTATTTTTCGGCATCCTGTTTTAATGTCAAGCCAACACACTGTCTAGATAGTGTGTTTGTTTTACTCAATATAATCATATTTCAATACTAAATTTCTCTATCTTGATCTCCTTGTGAAAGCCATGAAAACCAAATTTAAGGGATTATCAGTTACCTTGTCCTCATTTTATAAAGGCTGAAGAAGAATTTGTGCATCAACACAGTACATACCTAAATTAATGTTGTGTATATATCATTCAGAGTTCAATTCAGCAATTTATTAAGTGTTAAAATACTTACAGCCTTTACAGAAAGTTATTGTTAAAGTACTAGACTTAGGTCAGTAGTTTGAATGTTTCCCTAGAGAGCTCTCCTTTAAAAGAATTGCTATTTGGAAAAGCTGACTGGTGGATACCCATAAAACACAGGGGAGTTTGCTGACTAGCAGGATGAGAAGAAAATAGTGCCTGCAATCTGTTGACTTCAGGACAGAGGAGTACTAATAGTCTCATTCAATGCAAGGTGCTGGAACATTAGTAGCTTTTTTTTCTTGTTGCAGGCACTTATGAGTACATCTTGTGTGAAGAAAGTTCCTTGATTAGAATCAGTTCTACCAGACTGATAAAATTATGCTTTGTTGGTTTAGTGTCAGGATTGCATTTACTATTGATTAGTCTTTGTTTTAACTAGCCTCATTCTTCTAGCTGATTCTAAATACCTAAGTTTTTCATTTTAGTAAATGGGAAATAAAGCGTTGCCAGTACTGCGGTTCTCGTGGGACTCATTTGGCCTGTTCATCCATGAAGTCATGGGAGCAAAACTGGGAGTGCATGGAATGCAGAAGTATCTTTGCAAAATCAGGTGAAGTTCTGAATGTGACAGTGATTTCTTAAATTATAACTTCAGGTTATGTAAGCATACTTTACAACTAGCAAATTCATTAAATTAATATAATGTAATCATACAGGGAAGTATAGCAAACAGAAAAAGCGTGCTTTGGCTACCTCTGAAAAGACAAATGGAACAACTTGTTTGCTGGAAGAGCCACCTCTGAAGTCCCCTCGGCAGTCATCTGGATCTCCACGCAGTTTTCTACTCCAGTGTGTAATTTTCTGTTTTCTCACAGAAATTGATCATTGCCATAAGATAATACTTGAGCATGAGGAAATGATGGCTTATTCCATAGGAGAAACTTACATAAAATTGCAAATCAAATAAAATTGGAATAAAATTTAGTGATTGAAGTTTTCCAAGTAAGCGATGAGCTCTGGAAATTTGCTCTAGTTACTTGGATTTGGTGGCATGTAAACCACTTTTTTAGTTTGGTAAAGATAGATCCTTGTTAAAGGAACTTTTAACAATTTAGTGGTAACTTAAGAATATACAAATGGCAAAGCTTTAAGTTTGCTTATTGGTAGTTTTCCATTTTAATAGTGTTCTAGAAGTCTAACTTGAAGATAGATGTTCATAATAATGTTTTCCTCTGCTGTAATAAAAACATTTCAAGTTTGTAGAAACAAATATTTTTAGTTTTTACTTGTTGTGTCAGTCAGGATTTTCATCTGGTGTATGAGATGCAACTAAAAACATATCCTAAGAGCACGAATCGTTATTTTCAAAACTGTAGTTCTGACACTGCTGGACTTCATGGAAATGAAGATACAAATGAGATTCAGTACTGATTTAGGGGGAAACTACTGCTACCTTGAAATAGGAAGTGTTCATTCATTCTTCATTTGTATCTTCTTAAAATACTGTTTTGGCTTATAGATCACCAAAGATAATGTGCCAGAACTTGTCACCTTGCTCACACCTAGAACAGCCAGCATCCAACAGAGTGACAATGTCCCTATCTCCAGTGATGTCAAAGAGGAACTGGTCCCTGAGGTACAAGTATTTCTTCTGTTTTTCTTATTTTGAAGAGTAATCTAGCACATGACTTTTTACTGTATTTCCTACAGACTACGCAAGGGGGGAGGATCTCTGTGTGTGTTTGTATGAAATCTTTGATAGGCTATGTATATACAGTATCCATATGTATTTGTGTATATATGCAGTATACTTATATATTTCTCTGTGTGAATGTATACACTCTGCATATATATTTGTGTGTATATATGTATATAGGCACTGCAAAAATGAGTATACATGTAAGACCAGAAGTCATAGCTTGAGAAAGGCTTCTGCTGTTTGCAGAATGCTAGAGGGGTATGAGGGGAAAAGAATGAAACCTACTGAGAGTTTTTAGGTTAGGTAGCATGGGAATCAAACTCCAGAAATGCATATTTGTCCTTACTGATGCATGGCTAAACATTCTTTAGAAAATAGGGAATAAAAAAAATCCTAATTGCTTTCTTCTAATTAGGTCCTAAATTTTTAATGTTTTTGTATTTGTACCTTATGAATAGTTAATGACTGTACTAAAGTCAGTGCTAAAACAACATGTTTTAATATAGAATAGTCAGTGTGAGGATATACAATTCATTATCTTCTTCTGAGTAGTTAATTTATGGATTCTACCTGATGTGCTACAAATTCTGATGAGGGAATATGGTATTTCTAGTAAATACAGTATTTGAGATAGTTTTGGTTGGAAGCTAGTAAAGATAAGATCTTGTTTTTTTAAAGGAGAATTTTCTTCCTACTCAAATATACCTTTTTTTGTTATAGTGACAACAGTTCTAATTTGGTTGCAAAACATCTGTAACACAAAACGATAAACTTCAATTTCTCACTTGTTTCACGTTGTTTACATGTCAACTCTTGTGATAATTGTTTGGCACTGTGATGGAGTCACTGAATTAAGAAAATCAATATTTGATTTATGCTAGGGTAATTATTTCTACCTCCTTTTTTCATTTCTTAGAGGTATTTTAAAACTTGCCACTATAGTGTTAAATTTTTTTAAATACATACAAAATGTTTTACTGATATAATTCAGGCAATACCTGAATGTGCCACAGTATTTAATGAAGTGTTCTTCTTAATAGATTATTTAAATGTTTATTGTTGTTAATTATGAATCATAGATTTCATCTGAAAATACATGCAATTTTCTTGTAGGCATTTAAGACAGCAAAGAAAGGAAGTTTCTAATATACTGAAGGAGTTAAAGGTACAAGTTAAAACAAAAGCAACAAGACTTAACATCAATGCAGAAAATTGTTGGAGTAGTGCTTTAAAAGGATTTAGACAGCGCATCTTCAGTCCTACAAACACTATTGAAGTAAATTTCTCAAACTGCAAAAATAGATCAAAGACAAATACTTCTGCTGTATCAAAACACCATTTCTTCCAGTTATTAATGCTTCACCTTCAGAATTCGTCATTGTTTGAGGGCTCTTCTGGAAAGAACTTGTCCTTTGATTTTCAAGGTAATTGGTTGCTTTGTTCAAAACCAAATTGAGAAGTATATAACTTAAAATATTTTTTAATATTCAGCCAGTATGAGTGTCAGTTCACAAGTATAGTCCTAAAGGATAAAAATTGGGGATTGATTTTTTTTATTTTTTCAATTCTGAAGAGGAATGGTGTGTGGATATGTAATTTTGAAAATTTGGGTTAGTTGGAAATGTTGATGACAACCATGAAAAAACAGCATATAAATAGAATTTTGAGAACTTTTTAATTAGCGTATTTGTTTTCTTTAAGTGAATTTCTTTCTGACTTACTTTCTCTGCTAAATATTTTCCTTTCCTCCAATTTCTAGAGCATTATTTCTCATAGTGTGTTTCCAAAAAACCCCAAGTTAGCTTCTTTGAGTTCTTATGCTTCAGAATTAAATATGCATTTAAAAGGAAGAGGAAGTTAAATCTCCCAAACGTTAATAGTGGCTGAAGAGTTGGTGTAAAAGAATGTGATATTCCTATGTAAAAATATGGTATTATAGTTTGAACTGTCAGAAGATAGCAAAAGTCATTAAGAAAAAACAGCACTAGGACATTTTATATTAAAAAATAAGGATCAGAAATAATTTCTATGCATCTAAATAAGTATATTGTTTTATTTGCAGCTGTAAAAGAAAATCTTTATTTTGAAGCTGGTAAAATGATTGCTGTTTCTCTGGTTCACGGTGGTCCACCTCCTGGTTTCTTTTCTAAAACACTGTTCAGTTGTCTTGTCTATGGTCCAGAGAATGTGAAGCCAGCTTTGGAAGATGTTGCTGATGTTGATGTAGCACAAACAATAAAAATGGTAATGTGCAATAAGTTTGATTTTATTTCTTGTTCAAGACTATATTTGGACTTAAAGAAGGACTTATTAAATATAAATTTTGTTGAAATTAAAAGGTTTATTTTTCACATATACGTATACACACATGTACTAAACAAGTGCCTAAATTATCTTTTTATGCAGATAAAATATGCAAATAGTCTGTCCAGCCTACAGTCTACACTACAAGACTGCTGTGAATGCCTCGCTGCTGCTGGATGTTTAAGACCTGTAACAGCTTTGTGTGATAAGAACATGCTTGTGAATGACATACTGATCTATCATGTAATCAAGAGAATTGCTTTACCCTTAGAAAGGTTTGTTTTGCTTGAGTTTTTAAACTTCTTAGTTTTTTTCCTCACTGCAGCTCTAAATAATATGTTGCTAAAACTAGCTTTTAGGTATTCTTACTTATTCTCCATTTAAACCACTAAAGTGTACTGTAACTTTAAGTTGATTTAAGTAACAACTGTTAACTAAGTAGTTAAACCAAAAAATTTATTTCTCTACATATCTGCTCTGACTTCTCCTTGGCCACATTACATTCCCTTTTCAACCTTATGAAGAAGGCAGAATAACAGTTTTTAAACTACAGCATCACGAAGACCTTTGCTCTGTAAAATTCTCTAGCATATGTTCACTTCCAATTCAGAATTGCTCAAATTTAGAATCTTTATGTTTTAGAAATGTTTAGCATATGTTTAGAATTCAAATGAGTTTTCTAGAGTTCTAATCAGGGAATTTGTGTGTGCTATTAGGAGTGCAATACTGTCAGAAGTGTAAGTTGGCCTGCTTAGAACATAAGCATTGCATTGATGTTTCTGTGAGGTAGTGATGACCTCATTAGCTGGAAAAGTTGTGGCTCTTGACTGTTCTTTGTTGGTCTCTGGCCTTACTTCCAATTCACATTCTTCATCTACTCAGTAAAAATGTATTGGGTGCTAATTTTTCCAACAAGCATAGCCTGATTTAAACTTCACATATAGTATTACCTCTGACAATTTTATTAACTCTGTCTCGAAGAGCTATGAAAACTGATTATTTAAGTGAGGAATTTTTAAACGAAGGTCAGAAGAATTTAGTCCTTCAGTTCAAGACCCTCTGGCATGTTTTAACAATCTATATAATATTTTAAAATTAGTGAGTTAAAAAGTAAAACATAATAATTAGTGTATTTAAACAAATGCACTAATTTAAACATGTAAACATTAAGTTAACTTAAAAACTTAAGCATTTAAACACCATGAGGTAGTGGAGTTTTGTGCTTTTGGGAGATGGGCTTAAGATGGGCATAAGAGAGTAGAACAAGAAATTACTTGTCGCTATAAAGGACTGAGTAACTAGAAAGTTGGTTATTTTAGCTGTTAAATGTTCTACGCCACTGGGCACTACTGAAAAGAGCCTGTCTCTGACCGCCTTGCACATCCTCTTCAGATATTTTTACATGTTGAAATTCCACCTGAACCTTCTCTAGGCTGAAGAGTCCCAGCTCTCTCAGCCGCTTCTCAAAGGGTTATGCTGTAGTCCCTTAATCATCGTAGTCATTCTTTGCCAGAACCTGGCACTGGACACAGCACTTAGTGTGGCATTACTGCTGCTAAGCAGAGGAAAAAGATCACCTCCCTTGAGCTGCTGGCAATACAGTTCCTAGTACAGCCCAGGATGGTGCTGTCTGCATTTGTCACAGGCAGAAATAACAGCATATAAGCACATGCAAACTTGCAAAAGCCAAGCAAAGGCTATCTTTTAAGACAACTCATTTTGTCTATGGACAAGGAATTTAAGCTGTTTTCCAAAGGGTTATTTGTAAGAAAGAGAATTGCTATGTTTTCTTACTAAACTTAAAAGTGTATACCTTGTACATACAGTCAAGTACCAGGAAATAAGGTTAATTTCCATATACCAGTGATATTTCTTTCATTTCCCCAAAAAGCTCTACAGAAACATTTGGATTGTTAAAATGAGAGTTAAATGCATTTCCCGAGATGAAACAGGACTACTGTGTAACCTTCTACACATGATTTGGAAAGTGGTGTTGGGGAAGGTTTTTTATATACTATCTTGCAGCTTTATAAAATGCAGAGTTCTGATGCATGCTCACTCTTTTTTTATCCCCCTCTCCTAGTTTTAGGCAGGGTTTGAAAACACTTGGTGTTCTAGAGAAAATGCAAAAGCACCCACATGTGTTCTCTAGCATATTTTGCCACAAACCTGACAGACTTTCAGCGGAAACTGTTTGCGATCTCTTTACAATCCATTCCTCATCAGACGAAGGTGCTGATTTTTGGATGGGCTATCTGCAAGATGTGGAAAGTAAGTTTTGGTTGGGTTTTTTTTTAATAATGAAAAATCTTCTCCTTCTCTGTCTAGGTTATTCAGTTGCCTGGTATACATACAGAATTTGATTTTTAGATTTCAGTGATGTAAATAAATCAAAGTTTTGTTGTCACTATCAGTTCCTATTTGTTCCTTCTTCCCCCTTTTTCTAACTAATTAGAATTTCTGAAACTGTTGCCCAAACCTTTAGAGTGATAAATATCTGAAAGATTTGCTCTAAGATTACTGTGAATTAAAAAATAAAAATCCAACACACAACCGAAGTGATACAGAAAAATCCTCTATTAGATAGATTGTCTGAAGTCTTGAAAGACCACTGTTTTCTATCTTTTCCTTGCAGAAAAGATTTTTATATTCACTTAAGATTTTTCAGAACTAACTGAAGTGGGTTTTTCTTGCTAAACTTTTTCTTAGGTAGCCATATAGCTGCATATTTATTCACCACATTGATTTGATTTCATATGGGGGTTTCTTTCCTCTTGGCACTTAACATGCGGGGTAATGGTTTATGTGTAATAGACACTCCGTGATAAAACTTAATCCTTTTCTTTTAGGTGGTGACTCCCTAGTGACATTGGAGGATATTCTGCTTTTTGTAACAGGCTCCTATTACATACCATCTGTTGGTTTTGATCCTGAACCTACTCTTAAATTTTTGCGTATAAGGTATCCCATTGGAAACAGACTTCTTAATTGCTTAGAACTTCCTATAACAAAGACATATCAGCAGTTCAAAAATAAAATGGAGCTCACCATCAGAAACACACTAAGGGTTGAAAGGGAGTATTTTTGCTATTAAACTGAATGTTGTAAATTTGAGTTTTCTGTGGGAACATCTGCTTTCAGTTCGCTACTGTATTTTTGGACAACGTGCTTTTAGTATTTTCTAACCTTTCCTCCAAAATTATGCTAAAAGTTGTAATGTTATGAGATGAAAAACAATTTTCAAATGAAAAAAACTTTATCTCCTGAATAATTTTTTTTGAAGTTGACTTTAAGAGTCCTACATCTCTTGCAGAAGTAGTTTAAATGTCAGCTTTTGCTGTAGACAGGTATGAAATGTTTACCACACTCTGTAACAGGTAAGTATGTGGATTGTATCAAATACTTAGGTAACTTATTTATCAAAAACAAACCAAGTACATTTTGAAGATAATTGCTGAAGAGCATTGTCTTGCATAAAACTGTGATGCAGTTTTTCAGTTCTATGTGTATTTTTTCAGTAATTGTTTTGTATTGATTCATTTACATTCTGATGGTTCATAAAAACCTAGGAAAATCAAAATACTTGTAGATTTATGGTCATTGTGGCTAGTGCATTGAAGGTCTGGAGAAAACAGGTAAAATAATACAGCATAAGAACAAAATTCAGTTGAACTTGTGTCTGTTTTTAAACAAAATTTTTGACATTTGCACATTTCTGCATTCTACTGTCATACATTAATTTTTAATTACTCATAGAGTCAAAATAGTAAAAACCAGAAGGAAATATTGAACATGCAACAATAAGTGGTCTTTCAAAGGGAAATATAGGAGTTGGACTTAATGTTGAGTATGAAAGAATAAAAGTTCATTGCTCATTAAAGCATGTTAACTTGTCTTCCATTAAAGTATTTTCATTTGACCATGCACTAAAACTCTCTGTTAAATTAAAGGCAGTCTACTATCAAGCTTGTCTTGGCCTGACACTTTTCTAGCTTTGATTCTAAATTCTTCCAGTTCAGTTGTAGGCACATTCTGGACACTGTATAAAATTTATCTTAGTGCTCCAGTAATTTGTGCAAATGGCTGGGCTATTAAGCTGTAAAATATAAGTAGTGAAATTCCTATATAGCAACACTTTAATGTTGCTAATGCTAAAATTATGACATTAAAAGGACATTTAAATACGTTCTTTTAAAATGTATGCTGCTCTCTGTTTTGAAATTATACTATTTCCTTCTGTTAGTTTTGACCACCTGTGCTATATGTCCTTAATGTAAGCTGTGCTATAGTTGTAATATAGATACATATGTATCTCTATGTGTCTATGTGTATGCACATTCTTCAAAGTATTGGAAAGTAATCATACACTTTTATTAATGTAGCTTGGTTTGAATTGAAAATATAAGCAGGATTGCTTTACATTTGAATTCCTTGGAAGGAAGTATATCCACAGTAATTATAAATTGATAGGTGCTTCTGAAAAAATAATAGAAAGTCTAAGGAAATCATTGCAAGTCTTTGATCAGACATTTCTCATTACTAATGCCTAAAACAATCCAATCTCATCAGTCTTGTCATAATAAATTTAAGAATATTAGAAATTAAGACAGGATTAACAGTAGGTTCTGCTTGTTGGCCAAAAACATATTCAAGTTTCCATTAAAATAAACATATCATCTCTTGGAAAATGTAATTTGACTTGTTTACATACTAAGTATTTTCTCAGTGTCTTCTGTTCTCCAGTAATATTGTGTGTTTCTGATCTTTGCATAATTTTTGACTCTCATTCTGCCAATAAATTCTTTGTATTCTTAGCCTTCACATTATAGGAAGAGTGGTTGGGTACAAATTTGTTTACATGATAAGGATTCATATTGTATGTTTGTGTTTTAAAAATATAATGAGTTTCCTGCAGAAATAATGTTATACTTTAAAAATTAGTGCAGTATTTGTTTTTCTTGCCTAGCTAATGATAAATGTGTTCTGTAATGTTATTCTTCCATTTGAGAATTACAGATTTTACAAAAGTAGCAAGCAGTGTGAGTAATTTTCAAGGACGAGGACTTTTGGTACCTGCAGTGACAAGAGAAATTGTTCAAAATCTGGAACCAAATAAACAGCATTTTAAAAACTTCAATGGAGAAAGAAATAAAACAATGTGAACATAAGTCTTCAAAACATACCTGAGATTATAGAGTTCACGTCTTTTACTGCTGAATACTTTTGAACTCAGCAGTTAAAAGGCTTTTATATAAATGTAGAACTAACCTATATGCCAGGTGTAAAAAATATCAACTTTAAAACTATCTGCTATACAATGCTATATCCAAACACTGAATTTGTAAAACGAGTAAAAACATAGCATGTAATATTGCTTGAAAGGGTTTTTCTTGCACAGATTTTGTTCCCATTGTGTAATACTGACATGTACCTGTTCAGGACAAGTTGTCTTTTCCTTTTCTGTTGATTTGATCAGCTCTATCTAGACAGTCCAATATAATACTTCATATGTTCAAGTTGTATTCCTGAATGGTGCTATGGAAAGGAATTTTCTCATATTCAGCATTTATTTGTATAGACCAGTCACAAATTTGAACTGTTCATTAGAATTCCATTGAATAAGCTAACTTCCAGGCAGAATTGCCTGCCTTGTCTTGACATTGTAAGAGCAATTTATATAGCTGTAAGGACCCTAGGTTTTTTATTGTTGTAGCAGATCACTGAAATGCAATATTATGGGGTAGTTTTCATTTTACATAAACATAGCCTGAGGCACACCTGAAAGCAGGCTGCTTACTTTCAGTATTTCTGTAACACAGGGAGAATAACTGTGTGTGGATCAGTTGTGTATTAAATATATTCTTATAGAAACTGCATCTTTTATAAGATTTGTCAGCATCATGAAAGAACTTATTGCAGTCCTTTTTGTGTTTGGCCAAAAAACTTCACCCCACAGTTTCTGCATCAAACAGTTTCAATCTGGAATTGGCACATCAAATAAGCTATAATTTTCTACTAAATGGTAATATATTTATATTAGTGGTCTTAATATGGTCTCCTTAATGTAGATGTAACCAAAAACACCATCAAGTATTTTACCTCTATGTTTGAAAAACCAAGGAATAAGAAATTTGTGACTTGCTTTTTTACCCACTCAGAGGATGCTTGTCATAAAAAGCTGTTAGCTTTTTTAGCTGAATGAAGAGTGAAATATAGTCCAACGGAGAAAAAATTTGTTCATACAAAAAGTCTAAACCATTGTGTGCTGTACCTTTGATTATTTTCATTAACATGATATGTCCTGGAATTTGAAAACATGATAATTTTGAGAGTATTAGTTATTAATTCACACTCACATTCTGCAGATGCATTTTGAAAATAGTATCCAAAAAATTAAAATAGAAGTCTACAAACTATGACTTTCAAGTATATTTTGAATCTATTTTATATGATAAAACATGTTTAAAGCTCAAACTTTACTGTTTCTTACCTAAGGGAATCACTAATAAGAAAAAAGAAAAATTAAAATATGATTTTGGAGCATCAAAGCATATATATATACAGAAAGTAATTTTCAAAATGTTAATGATTTTTAAAAAGCTACACTCTAACCCTCTGATTTTTGTATTACATAAGTAATGTTATTTTTAAAGTTAAGGTATTTAGAATGTTATGCAATCCAATGTAATTTTGTAAATTTTTCTAGCTCTAACTTGAACTCTGCAGGATCAGTGCCTAAACTGTTGCATCTTGAAGCAACGTTTCGTAGCATCAGTGTTGAAATAATCAGTAATTATGGGAAATACCGTGTATATGTCCAAAGTGCAATAAAAGGTTAACTACGTAGCTTCCGTGTTTTTATTTTGTTGATTTATGTATTTTTAGCTCTAGAAGTGTTATCACTATTTTCTGTAGTTTCGTTTGTGTAGATTTACATAAAGGTGTACATGGCATGTTTATCCGTTGTGTCCAGAGCTGAGCCGGACAAGGCCGCTCTTTCCCCGTGGGATTGCTGTGAGGGCAGAAAGGCAAGGGGCCTGTGGGCATGTGCGAAGTGAGGCGAAGGGAAGCAAGCTTGTAACTATATTCCATTCTGGTAACTCACTAAAACTACATTACTTTATTTGTAGCTAGATCCTTGGTTTTGAAACATCAGTCTTTCCATTTATTCATGAGGTGCTCCTTATCAAAGCTGTTTCAGTGGTTTCTTCTTGAAACTTCAGTCTGAGCGTACCCTCCCCCGTACTCAATAGCAAAGCGGTGCAGAAGGCCGTCCCCGTGCTCAGCCGGGCCCAGCGCAGGCCTGTGTTTTCAGTCGTCACCGCCGTTCCGGGCCGGCCGCTGCCGCGGAGCCGGGCCCGCCCCCGGCCCGGCGCTCGCCACGTGTCGCGGCGGCTGCGCAGGCGGCGGCAGGGCGGGGCGGCCGGGCCGGAGGCGCGGGAAGATGGCGGCCGGGATCCGGGAGAAGCAGACAGGTGAGCGCCCGCCCGCGGTCCCCCGCGCGGGCGGCACCGGCCCCTCCCGGCGCTCGGGCGGGAGCGGGGCCGGCCTCACGCCGCCGCCGCCGTGCCTGCCTCTGTCCCCGCGGGGCGCGCTGCGGGTGCCGCCGCGCCTCCGCCGGGAATCTGCGCTCTCTCACCCGGCTTGGGTCTCCCGGCAACGGGGTGGCGGCCCCTCTGCTGCCTTCTCCTCGCCTCTGTGGCGGCGGGACTTCGGAGCCTCGGGCCGCAGCTCTGGCAGGGGGACCCCGGCCCCATTGGGCCCCAGACTCCGGGGACGTGGCTGTAGGTGCCGCCGAGGTGTGGAAGGCGCCGCCGGGGCGGGACGCGGCCGGGCCCGGGCTGTGGGTGCTGCCTTCTGGCGCGGCGGTGGGAGCACCCGCTCCGTTTGGGGTTCTTTCTGCTCGTGGGAAGGATCGTCGGGAAATAGCGTTTAATGGTGCAAAAATAAAGCTGCTGTTGTCATGTTCATGTTAAGACAATACAGGGGCATCCAAGTGTGTACTGTCCCTCAAGAAACTGGGAATACGTTAATAACAACTAAACTATGCATGAGGACTTCTGTGAGTAAAGGGTTTGTTAGTTTAGTCCCTTCTTAAACATTGCTGAGAGTCCTTAATTGATTTTTCTCTGCCTTGATGCTGCTTTGTAAAGCCTTGGACATACTCCTAAAGCACAGGTAATGTCAGCTCCATAGTCTTCTACTTCCCTTTCTTGCTGAAGTTGTAATCAGTAGTTCAGCTGTAATCTCAACACTTTCTCCTTGACAGCTGCAGTATCTTTGGTGGTATAGAGGATTCCAGATGCATTTAGTTAGCATGAAATGTTTCAAATCATCTGGCTAAAATCTCAGTCACGGTCTCTATGGACCTTTAATATATTACTACTATGCTAATTTTTTTGGTACTACTGTACTTTTTTGTAATCTCATTCCTCTGCCATCTACCATTGATAGTGCTATTTGATGTTCTTCTGAAGTCCTTTGGTTATCGTCTCTTTGCTATCTTTCTAATAAAGCCTATTTTCTTTGAGCTTGTATTCTTTACAGCTTTATTCTCTTCTATTCTGTTTCACAGTGTTCATGGTGTGGTTTGGGTTGAAAGGTACCTTGGAGATCATCTAACTCCCTGCCTGCTATGCTATGGACAGCAACACCTTTCACTACATCAGGTTCTTTAAAGCCCTCTCCAGCGTGGCCTTGAACACTTCCAGGTATAGGGTATCCACAGCCTCTCTGTACAACCAGTTCCAGAGCCTCACAACCCTCATAGGGAAGAGTTTCAACTTTATATCTCATCTAAACCTACTGTCTCCATTTAAGGCCATTCCCCCTTGTCCTATCATTACATGCTGTTGTGAAAAGTCCCTCTCCAGGACTCTTGTAACTCCATTTAGGTACTGGAAGCCACTATAAGGTCTCCCTGGAGCCTTCTCTTCTCCAGGCTGAACAAAGCAAACTCTCTCAGCCTTTCCTCATAGGAGAGGTACTCCACTCCTCTGATCATCTTGGTGTTCCTCCTCTGGACTTCAGTCTAACAGGTTCAAGTTCTTCTTATGTTGGGCCCAGATGTGGGTGTAGTACTCCAGGCAGGATCTCACCAGAGGAAAACAGAGGGGCCCCTCTCTCATCCTGCTGGCCACACTGCTTTGGATGCAGCCCAGAATACGGTTGGCTTTCTGGGCTGCAGGTGCACATTGCCAGGTCATGTCAAACTTCTCATGTACCAACACCCCCAAGTCCTCCTCAAGGTTGCTCTAAATCCATTCTCTGTCCAACCTGTATTTGTGCTTGGGAGTTCCCTGACCTAGGTGCAGGAGCTTGCACTTAGGCTTGCTGAACTTCCTGAGGGTTACACAGGCCCGCCTCTCAAGCCTGTCAGGGTGCCTCTCCCTTCTCTCCAGCTTATTGAGGAGGACTTTCTTCATGGAAAGGGTTATACATTGGAATGAACTGCCCATGGAGGTGGTAGAGTTACCATCCCTGGAGATGTTCAGCTGGACATGGCACTTGGTGCTATGATCTGGTTGAAAAAGTGGTGATCAGTCAAAGGTTGGACTCACTGATCCCGGAGGTCTTTTCCAGCCTGAATGATTCTGTGATTTTGTGACCGTACACAGTTTGATGTCATTGGCAGACTTGCTGCAGGTGCATTCAGTCCCACTCTCCATGCCACCAATTGTTACTTGATTATTTCAGTCAGCCTTTACAACTGAATCCATGTTGTGTTCTGTTAAAGAGGTCTTTTCCAAGGAGCTAGATTCAACAACTAAAATGTACTCAGAAAAAGGTTTCTTATCGTTTAGTTATGGTCTTACCATGTATGTGCACCATCTGTTGTGACCTTTATCCTGGTTCATAACCAGGATTGGTTTCATAACAAAAGCATATCATTGTGCAAGCACAGTAAAAACCTGATCCTTGCCCCAGAGAACATTCAGCATTAATATAAATGAAATGACAAAATGAATACAAAAAAGGAACTCGGACACTTGCTGAATGTTGACATGATTGTCACAGCACGTTACTAGTCTGATTACTCTTTCTTAGCAGAGAGCTTATGCCAAGTTTTACTTTAAATAATAAACTCTGCAATGCAGCTGCTTCAGCTGTGGTAGTACCAAAGCACATAACGATACAGCTTTATATAAAATTGCTCATATGGCTAAAGATGTCACCAGCAGCGAGGGGCCAGAGAATCCAGGAGCAGCCTGTAATCAATTTTCAGAGCTGCTTCATGGTGTTTAAAAACGAAAAGGAAAAAGTATGAAGCAAGTGGAAGGCTGGAGTCCATCAAGACTCAGCACTCAGTGCTAGCTTGGATTTTCCCACATTTGTGTTTCACTTCCAGTAATGTCTTTTGAAAGGGCAGTACGCAGGAGGAAGCAGGGCATCAGAAACACTGCCTGGCCATGCATAGATGATAATAGGACAGCCAGAGTTCACTGAGGTTGAGCTGTGCAGCATGTATCTTGAGAAAAGATAAGTGCTTCTGCTGCAACATTAGTGTTAGCAAAAATGTAAATAATAAAAAAGGTTGGATCTTTGCTAAATGGAGCTGGTCATATAATGGTGACACAGATAGACTGAGACAGCTAGGGCTGAGGTAGCCAGTGCTGCCTCTGCAGTACCTACAAATGCTTCCAGACCTCAGTGTCACTTTGGAGTCAATCATTTAGTAAATCCTATTGGAAAATTCTTCTTATCACATGAGAGAAAATGCATGCATGAATTTATGTACGGTAAATCATGCCTGACCAACCTAATAGCCTTCAGAGATAAAATGACTGGGTTTGTAAGCAACTGCACAGTATTTAATTTACCTTGACTTCAGCAAAGCTTCTGACACCATGGTGTTATATCCAAGTTAGGATGTCATGGACTGGATAGACGAACAACTAGCTACATTAAAAAAACTGGTTGGATGGTCAAGCTCAAAGGGTTTGTAATTAATCACATATAATTACCTAGAGGCTGGTAACAACTAGAGCACTCCATGAGTGTGTTCTGTGACCTCTCCTGTTTAAAATGTCTATCAGTCACATGGAGGGCATTGTCAGAGTGTACTCTGATTAAGTGTGCAGGTGACAGCAAACTAGGGGAATCTCTTCTATTTGAGGGCAGAGCTGCTATTAGGAGGCATCTAGATGGACAAGAGGAATGGGCCAGTGGAGATCTTATGAAATTTAATGATGACAAATTCCTGCCCTTGTAAAGGAAGAACCCCTTGCACATACAGGCAGTAATGTGGGGGGTTGAAAGACTGGAGAGCAGCTTTGTCAAAAAGACCTGCAGGGGTCCCAGTGGACCATCAGCTGAAGGGAGTCAGCAGGGTGACCAGGGTGGTCAGAGGCCCTGGTGAGGCTGTAGCACTAAGGCTTGTTCCACCTGGAGTTTTCTCCTGGTGGCTTCAGGGTGGACTCTACAGCAGCCCCCAAATACATATGGGCAGCAGTGAGAAGATGGAACCAGGGCCCTTTGTAGTGGTGAATGGCAGTAGGGTGAAGCACAATTGGCATAAATTGTATAATATAAACAAGCTGTTCAAACTGGATGTAAGGAAAAGCTTTTTCTCCACAAGGACAGTCAGTGCCACGGGTTGCACAATGTGGTTGTGGCATCTCCATCCATGGAGAGCTGACTAGATAAAGCTCTGAGCAGCCTGGCCTAGCCTCAGAGCCAAGCCTCCTTAGGCAGGAGGCTGGACTGGAGGTCTTCCAAGATCCTCTCCAGCCTGAGATGTCTTGTGATACTGTAGATCCCAGGAACTGCACTATGTTCATTCAGCCAGAGTCAGAATTGTTTCTACTGCTCTCCATTTATGAGCTAAGTGGTATCCATCACTCTAA